CTGATTGGAAATGCTGCCTTAGGGTATACTTTGAATATTTCAAACTGATATTCCAATTCTTCAAAGTTTTAGAACACAAAATTTCATGTTAGTCTAAATTTGTTAAAAATCATGCATGCACGATGCACCACATGAAAATATTCCATTTATACGGATTTGGTAATAAATATTCTTTTGAAAATGTTTTGATTACCATATATTCCTAAGAGTAATAAATTAGGGCCTATTCAATAGGTATTACAATATAAATACAAGATACAAATTCATTATATATTTTATTAAGGAGAAATATGTTCACGCTTTGAATGTTAGCCACAGGAACTGGAATGTTGGTATTTTGTGTGTATTTCCTTAGAAATATGGAGCACTTCCTTTCTAGTTTACGAAAATTATCACTGGAATGAATTTGATGTCCTAAATCAGGGTTTTCCAAACTTCCCGTTTAACGGTTCCCTTTTGAAATGGAAGATTCGATTGTGTATCCCCTAAATTGTACTGAGTGCTGTGATTGCAACTTGTTTGTTACTGTAGTTGTAGTTACAGCTTCTAATTTAATGACAATGTGACTTCCTGAGGACTTCCAGCTCACGTCTTCAATTTATTGATATCAGGTGATAAAAAAATAGTTTATGGCAGATTAGAAGTTATGGAAAATACATCCCAATACTTAATAATAATCTAATGTACCCCTTGAAAAGTCTAAATGTACCCCCGGGAGTATGCTCCACTCTAAATAGTGATTTCACAGTAATTTATTTCATACAGGCAAAGCCAATTGCAATTGATTAGATTTATCATAAGTTCATTTTAAAGTGGCCACCCAGGCATAATGTGAAGGCAAATTTATTAAAAGCATTGTTCCCTTCTTATTAACAAGGTAGCATGGTTTCAATACTGTCAAACTAAAAATTGTTTAGTGTTAGTGAATGATTTACCGTACTATTGTTTTACAACCCCTTGTCACTAGTACTACCATCCCACTGAAATTACATATTTAATTCAAGCATAGTCAATCAAGTTTATCTACAGCTAATTTCTGGCCATTGTTTGTATTATGTACCCTTGTGTATCTTTGGTTTACATGAGAGCTTTGTTAATGATAAAGAGTAACTAATTGTTTTTTTCCCTTAGTGTATTTATTCTATGTTCTATTACACCCCATAAGGACAAAATGTCGTTATCAACATGTGATACAGGGTGACCCAAATATAGCAAAACTCGTGTCGTTTTGAAAATATCTTTCATAGCAGTGGTTTTCAAATGGGGGGCGCATCCCACAAGGGGGCCGTAGACAATTTTGGGGGGGCGCGCGCAGCTAATTGAAAATAAAAATAGGGGCTTCCGAAGTATGCGAACCAAGATGGCGGACATCGGAATGTAACATGTGTACTAGGTTAGGGTTAGGCCATAATTTTAGGTATGAATACTACGGGAGGCTCTTGGTTAGTCTTCGTACTGATAATAGGACTAAAATAAGGAAAATTGGAAAAAAATTATCGCCTAACCCTAACCTGTTACCCATGTTACGTTCCGATGTCCGCCATCTTGGTTCGCATATTTCGGGAGCACCTAAAAATATTTGTTAGATCGACCATTTTTACCATTGATCTTGCTCGCCTTATTTTGGATTTTCATTATTTACATTTCAAAACTTTTCATTTATTTCACTGTTTACGTTCTATCCGCATATTTTATTGTATTTTTAGAACAAAACATACTTTCGCCTTACTACTTGCTATTTGTGGCTAGTTAGCGAGTCTAGTAATGACTATCCTTCAATAATTACCTGTTTTGTTGTGCTTTTTATCTATGAACATTCAATGCTCAATAGTAAATTATTGAATGTATCATCAAACATTCCAATTAAAGCCTGAATATAATGTATTTCATATTGTATTTACCGATATATTCATGTAATATTAAAATGCTCACAGACTTATGGTAAACCAGAGAGTATCTCATCATGCTTTAGGTGTGCATTGCAAATTGGCCCTCATAAACCGCATCTGGTATTGAATTTTACTTTTAATAAGACTTGAATTTGTTCATTATATAGCAAATTAAAAGTAACCATGGCTGACATGATTTTGAAATCATTGAACTGGTAACCTCCATGATTCAGTATTGCGTCCCGATTTCTTGCTTGCAATGCTTTTTCACAGGATACATAGTTTTTTTTATGTTTTGAACATAAAAAAGTAGCCACTTCTCGGTAATGAGCTACTGTATTTGAGGACGAATCTTTCCTGTTTTGCATTGTCTACCTAGTTTATTACAGCCTAGGGTGGGTGGAGGTAATGGGTTTCACAACTCAGATTTCTAGCTTGCTATGTCGATATAGTCAAGTCTTAACACATTGAATATTAGGTAATTATGCCTGGTGTTCTTGAAATTGCTCTTAGTTGAAACCATGTTGGTTAACACTCTTACCAATTTTGTATCATTTCATATTATTAATAAGCATTTATGAGCTATATTCGCCTCCTTACAGCTTGGAAATGCTTAAAGGCTACTCTGCGTTTGAAAAATGTGTTACCGGCCCGGCTCAAATCCCTGTGGAATAATTGAGACATATTTAGCTGTCGGTAACTCAATTATAATAAAGCCATCGTAATCAGTTGGGATTCCTTCTTTTGTTGTTGTGCCAAATGTCGGTAGCACGAGCATTGTGTAATGCTACGCCTGAAAATAGGTTGTATGAAGAAGGAATGTGACTGTCTTTATCTGACATGGGCAAACCATGGCTCGCGGGCCAAATCCAGCCCGTTGGATTATTCAATCTGACCCAACTGATGCTGCCACAATCAAACTATAAACCAAATTTTGATGTTTCAGCTAGAATATAGCGCAAGGAATTTGTTGAGATTGCGATTTGGCACAAAGCTAATTATTGTTTCCACTTTCGCTTTTGTAACACTGTAAATTGAATTCTGTTTATAAAGTGTAACTTTTGATGATACGCTTATATGGCCTGCTAGTCTAGGTGGGCAAAATTTCTTTGCAGATAAAATTGAGGTTTTGAATATCTGATTTTTTAATGAAAGTAATACATTTTTATACTGTTGTTCATTTCAAATATTTTTTCGATTTAAAATTTTTCGAACATATTTATATATATATATACATAAGAATGCTACATTCTATTTTTAGCTTTTCTTACTATGACTCAGCATTGGTTTAGATTTACCGGCATTGCTCTGCAATGTTGCAATGTTATCGAAGAGTATTCCCTTGAGGCAAAATTTAATCCGATCATGTCTGCATGGATGGGAAAAACCATGATTATGTCGTGTTTTGTCATTTGATCTGGTAAAGCCCACATGGTGGTTGGAATTTTTGAGGTTACTACCAAGTACCAACCATGGAATTTTTCCAGAGGCAATTTTATTAATAACATGTTGCTAAATGCGATAAATTTAAACATCTAAAAATTTAGGCACTTATTTTCTTTACTAAAAGTTTTACTTTTTTAAAACTTTTTCAAGGGTTACATAGACCGATATTTTGCCCCAAATTCGGTTCTTTTATTTTCAATTTAAAGAACTCATTTTTGAGTGTTTATTAAGTGAAATATTGTTGAAAAAAGTACGACATTCAATAATACGCGACCATTTATTACTACTATATCAATTTATTTACCTTTTTAAGATTAAGAATTATTGCCTAGGGTGCTAACAGTGTGCACGCGGTTTTTGTCACGTTCGCATTTACAGAAATATATCACGAGGATTTGTTATTATGTTGACATACTGGACACTAAAATGTCATTTTGTATCAACTCTGTCCCTAAAGTAACATAATAAGCGATGGCCATACATATTTGAGAAATGTGAAATTCTGTGTTGAAATTGTTTTTAGTTTGGATTAATACTGGAACAAAAGTATAAAGTTGTTAAAATAGTTGATTAATAATAACTGTTTTCCAACAAAATAATAGTTTGTGCCAAACATACTTTATAAATTTGACTCTGTAAAACAGATCTTATCCAAGATTTATATTATTCAAATTCTACAAATAGATCAAATTTCATGAAAACTTATTCCCTATTTTCGGTTTCTTTTTTAGATTAGAAACTGGAACACTATGTCCAGCTGTCTGAATTCTGACATTTATATAGCCTATTGATAATATAGATTAATTGCACTATTTTGGTTCAAACTTTTCGACCTGCGTGTCATGATATTGGCGCAATTTCATTTGGAAACCTCAATGGCTAATTTTAAACAGTTATCGTGTTGTTTAGCTGTCTCTTGTCAACATGTGACATATTATTATTGTTGAGAAAGATTTGCCACGTTTATGTATTTCTATCTTTTTGATTAATTACTGACAGCAGATTTATAATTTCAATGAATTGTTTTATACTTTTTGAACATTAGCTAGCATGCAACACTTAGATTTATACCTGTCTAATTTGAATACTGCGATTGTTCTTTTTAATTTGTGCATTGGCATAAGGTGTTATCCATTATAATTGATATATTATTAACAAATTTTGCTCTGACCAAATGCACTCACTGAGAAGTGATCTCATCTCTTGGCGAAGTTGAATGCGACCACTAATAGCCAACAGCTACTGAAACAATAAAGAAATATAAAAATGGCCGATTGTCAAGTTATTAAGACTGCAAGTGTATTTACCTTGGCAGCAAATAATATATTTATGACTGTATATCACATATCGCTTGATAAATTCATTCTTGTAGGTATTCACAGATTCCTCTGAATGACAAAATTTTCGGGAGGTCTGTTTTAAAAGCACCTACTTTATATATACATGAACAATTGATTTTATTTCATCAAATTTTTTTTTGCTCACACTAGTCATTTGCCCAATATTTTAAACCCACTCCAACCTATAACTGGTCATCGAATCCCATTTACCCACAAGCAATCTGCTTCGTTTTACATGTGAGCCAAAAGGCATTTGCATGAAAGTACATTGATGATCATAAATTGAACGGCTAAGTCATATTACTATTTATTTCTTATGTTACAGGTGGACAAAGCTTCGGATAGCAATGGTTCCTTTCGCTGTTATTTTGGAGCCGTTTTCAGAATGCTTCCTTGCTGGTCTTCTGCTGGCGTTATCAAGTCATCATTTTCTTGGTTGGAACATGATGGTCGTGTTTCTTTACCATGTCTTGGGATGGTTTATTGCAGATTATATGTTCTTCAGGGCGCTGGAGGTTTGTTTGTCCACCTTTCTTATACAATGCTTGTTCATGCTTTTTGCTCTGAACAAGACCCTGCCAAAGCAGTCACTGATATCTGACAATATCCAAGAAGATACTATTTTTGGGGAGGGTAGAATCTTTGGCGCTCAGTAGTATGTGTACCAATAAGAAGGTAACTAATTTTGTTCACCTAATTCACATCAAGTTGTGTAAAGGGACTGGAACCTATGGGCAGGGGGTATATTCACTTGCCTAACACAGACAGTCCCCGAACTTGCAATAGAACTAAAATAAGAATAAAATTGTGGCCTAACCCTGACCTGGTACACATACTACAGAAGAACTGAACAGTTCGACATTGCCTATCCGATTCATTATGCCTATCCTGGGTAAAGTTGTGGAATTTGAATCTGAAATGTGTAACCAGTGATGCCAACACAGTTCTGTTCTCAAACTTTTTAATCTGCGTCCCATTTTTAGAATTTGATTTGCGCCCCACCACGATAACTATTTAACAATAAGCTAGAAATAACAGATAGTGAATTGAAAGTATGTTATATTCAAAATACACTTTGAAATTACGTGGATGGAAGTAATTTATGGTATAAATGAGAAGTTTCAAAAACAAATTGGGCGAGCATGATCAAATCGAACAGATATTTTTAGTTTTAATTAGCTTCATGCTCCCTAAAAAATTGTCTGCGCCCCACCGTTTGAGAACCACAGGTGTAACGCTTTGATAAGACAGTTTAATTAGTACGTTGAATGAGTAATTTGGCTGACAAACGAATGTATTATGGTCATAGAATTGAAAAAATCAGTTATTAACTTCAAATAAATGTTGTTAGCTCAAATGGTAGCTCTATTGATCACCTTTGCTCATGTCCCCCAGAAAAGTGCTCTGCGACTCGCTCGAGTGAACGAGGGGCCGATTTATGAAACACTAATCTAAACTTCATATTTTTTTATCTTAGAATGGGCATCTTCAAATCAGTAAAAGGGATTTTCTTGTGGCTTGGTTTATACGAGAGACATTGACACCTTATGTTATTCTCACCGCGATCTGGGACCCAACGATAACATGGCAAAATGGTCGGTATCGTGTAAGGTGTGGTGGCCGTGCTGAAGAAGTCGCAGATGTTTGACAATCCGGCGGTGGCACGCAGGACAATATCAAAAGAGTGGGCCACAATCGCCATAGACTACACAAGAGCAGGAAAGCCTACCTACCGCACATTTTGTGTGATTTGTACTCAAGTTTAGTGGCCTCGCTACAGACTTCTTCCAAATCTCATACCTTTACTCGTAACCCACTGAAACGGCTACATTCATAGCCTTATTTTTTCTACTTCATTATTTCTCAACAATGCAAGGATGATAGTGCTCTCCGAGATTGTAAGCGAGAGCGGCATTGTGTTTCATTACTAACACTCAGGGTTTGATCTTGAAACGACCTTTAACCTGTGTGAAGGGGGTTATCTCATTTTGAAGGTCATTCGATTCATCTTTTTCATGTTCCACAAATTCATCAAGAAATTTCATAATGTCCAATTGATTGGTTAGATAACTCAGAAACGTGTCTCTTTAAAGAACACAACAAATTCGAAACAATATTTGAAAGCAAATTTCGACTTTTCCAGATAATATCTTACATACTTTTTTTGTTATGCTTTAGGCCTTTCAAATATACACCATGGTCGACATAGTGGGCATAAACTACATTACTGGGACCCTACTGACATATAATGGTTGATCGCATGTCTCTATGAGGCAGTCCTTTGCTATATGAGTAAGCTGCCTCATAAGCTTTTCTCTTCCCCCGCCCACAAAATAAAATATATGAGAATTCAATCCCAACTCCAATACAACCCTACCTAAATTGTAGTTTTACCCACATTAGTTTTGCTCTTCTCTAGCACACTCTAGTGTCAAATCAATAATCTGAATTTCAATTCATCAATTTTATTTTGGGGTCGCTCATGGCATAAAACAAAACAACATAACAATAACAAACAGACAAACAAAATACAGAGTTACATTGAAGGCGACTTAACTTGTAATAAAGTTAAAAACAAACGAAAAGTATGTGCCCGACTCACATACAATGAAGTATATCTGCCACCACCATCACGTGACGGTACTCATCATGTATCACCACCTTTTTGCACAATTGAAAATTTTCTTTTATTACTTGTAGTGTTAAATAAATTACTTATAATAAATTTATGATTAACTTGTGAGCTCTAACTGAAGGCACTAACCAGGGATGGCTAAAATACATGAATCAACTATTCCTATTTGAAAATGATATACCCACTATACTTGAAATCAGGTCAAAATTAACAAAGAACTCAAGGTAGTCGATGTATATTTATCGATTTGGAGTTGCAAAGAAGTTGTGATAAGCACTAAATGAACACATTTTTGATTACATTTTCGAACCACCAATTTAAACCATTTGGAATCAACTCCTAAATTAAGGAATTTAAAATTAATCGAATATATTTAATTTTGAATGAGTATGAATATTTGATTCATTTTGGGCATCCCTGGACCGCTAAATTTAAAATGGATTGTGAAAATTATAAAATATTACTTTCTTTAATAATATGAACATTGTTGAATGTTCACTCTATACTATTTTAACTAATCCATTGTGCCTACTTTGTGGCCGTAATTTTTCCTTTTTTTTAAAATCAGAGTTTGAATTAAACAAGTTTTGAAACAGAATTCATTCAATGCATTTAAAACAAATAGCCAGATTTATATTTCCCCATGGACCAAACCATAGGAGTGGCTTAGCTTGAAACATACCGTGCCCACATTGAGTCCTTTCGTAATGCTAAGCTTTTTGTCAAAAAGCAAAAGATTTTCTGTGGAAAGATGCTTTTGCTTTCAAAGTGCTTTTGCAAGTTTGATATGAAAGATCTGCTCAAAGACTTGTTTAATTCAAACTCTGAAACTCTCAACCAAATATCTTCAATGAATAATAAATGCTGTATTTTTTTGTCAACAATTTCTATTAATTTGTTTATATTAATAGCTATAAAGATTCTATCTATTCATTTGAATATTGTCCCTGTCAGAATTTGAGTTTTATTAAGGATGGCACATGACACAATCACAACTGAATATTTCAATTATACAGGGTGTTCCTAAAGTCTTAAACATTTTCAGAAAAGGAATATTTATCTATGTCAAAAGTAGTTTGTTGAGCCATAAGACGTTTGTGCAAAGCATGCTAGATTACTGTAACTTTCGGATATAATCGAACACAAACAGAAGTTCAAGTATTAATTAAATTGTTTTTCATTTATGTAGAAGTAACTAAGAAATTTATGACTTTTATTTTTGGATCATTCTGTATTGAAAATCGACCTCATAACAAAATTAAAATTATAAGTGGACCCAATAATTCTGACCGAGTTATTGTTTGAAATTTCACAATCACATGTTTTTTATTCTCTCTATAGCCCTATTGAAATAGAGCGGTGTCATGAATCTCCTGCCACGTCCCTCCCCCTCTCTTTATCTTTTGGGTTACCTGCAATGGAGTGTGATCAGGGCTACATTGTTTACATTTAAATTATGTTTCAGAAACAATTTTACTTGATCATATTTATTGGCTTGCGTTGCCGTTATTAGAACTCTATACTGATTATTCAAGGGTTACTTGTTGTGACTTGGCCCTTCTGCACAAACTGTGTGAACAATGTTCAGCCAGGATTGCTTTAAGTATCAAAAAATTACATCTCAATACTCAAATATTAATTCATGGCACAGTTTGGTAATTTTTCACATTCTCAATATTTTTCTTTAAATTCCATTTCTCCAAGCTGTCAACAAAACTAAAGTTCATTTGGCGTGTTGAAAATTTGTCCTTTTACAAATCTTTCAAATTTATAATTGCATTTTAAATGATGGCCATAACATATTGATATTTTGATGCACTATATTCTTGTTATTTGGTTTTAGGTATTCAAAATGACTTGCAACATCCAGAGTTATATATTAGAATGTTCTAAATTGGTACCATATTTATAAACCACGATTCATGCTGGTTTTATTTGGTTTGTTTAAAACCATATCATTACAGATCTTCTGGTCAGATTGGTCAAACGATTGGTACTGCATCGTAACCATGGAGCAGTATTTCCAGTTTGAATATTCAAAAGGGTTTTTCACAGCAGTTATGGTTCTGATTGACCTCTATGATGGTAACAAATGCACCATGCCCAAAGAGTTGACTCGCACATAAGTCGCACTGAAAATCTAGGAATTTAAAAGGCCCTTTCCCTAGCTTTTTGCATAGATAACTTGCTATTTTTTTTTGTATTGCATTTAATCAAAATATGTTTTTTGACACCTGCGAGCGATAGTAACATTAGTAAGTGCATGTACGCAAGCGCAGACCATACAATTTTCATGAATAACCAACTCGCTGTTCCGACTTGGTGACGATTTGCACTTATGTTGAGTGGTTTGGTCGCGGCTGTATAAATATAAGGAAAAAATTGTGACCTATCTGCGAGTATATACGGTAATCCTCAAATTTTTAACATCACAGGCTAATAATATACTGTGTAGTATATCTCAACTGCAAAAGTATTGTGAAATTATTGAGAAACAAACCATATAATCAGTGATATGATTCCTGATTTTAAGAACTGGTTCTATTAGAAGACGTGTTCTCTGATTGTCAGGACATTCCCAGAACGGATTCACGCCAGCCCATGCGAAACCCTCTCATAAATCCCACCGCAGCTTTTAAGTGTTTGATTTTCAATTTCCTTTAAAAATGATTTGACAGCAAGCGTAACAAACTTTGAATTTAGAATTGAGTTGGTCTATTTCTCTTTGTATCTGCAACTCAGAAGTTTATGCATTATTCCATTTTCCCCATTTAAATTATTTGATTTTACTGGACATGAAGTTGATTTTGGAGCGTTGCGAACTGTAATTTTATGGTTTTTAAAGCTTAGGATTGTGTCAGTAAAAAGTGCCTTAATGAAAATGTTCCAGTCTTGTTTATATTCTGATTTTTCCTGCTTCTAATCTAAAGGTAGATTTAAAGAAATATAAATGGTAAAATACGAGAAAATGTGTGTGCGTTGTGTATAAGTCTGCTCAAAGCAAGGTCTCGAGCCTTGACAAGCTATTCAGATATATTTATATTGACTTGAGACAATTCAAGACTGTCAGCGAATCAATTATGTATATTGGAATTCAGCGGAACAGTTAACGGTGAAATATAAAAACATGTGTGCGCTATGTAAATCAGTTTGCTCAAAGCAGGGTCTCACACTTCACTTTATGTGGAAATGGTGCTGATAGAAGATTACTGGCGGACCTGATACCATATGGCGGGGCTACTCAGCTATTTTCACCAACGGTCCGTTTACAAAACTTCAAAATTACTGGGGTCCGGACTTTACAGGGAATTTATTTCATTAAATAAATGAAACTTCAAATGCAATATTAAGTTAAATACAAGAGCAATGAATAGCTCGCAAACATGGACACAAATGTCGCACATCGGCACCAGTAAGACAAACTGTATAACTGTATTCAAATTGTATCAAAATCATCTAAAACTATAAAACGATGCTTATGCTGCCAAAATAAACAAGCAGACGCGGTCCAAATTAAATGGTCGAAAAGCCCGGATTCGGACCGCGGTCCGCCGGTTTAGTAGCCCTGCCATGTGGCGCGCTTAAATACTTGTTTTTCTTAAAAATCTAGCGTGCGATTAATGTATGGATCAGGTAAGCTTTATTGCCTACATTAAAATCACATAGAGAACACTATAAGAACAGTTCAAGGCAGCCTGGAGATTTCAACAAAAGATAAGGTTCTCGGAAAAGCCTGTCAGCATGGAAATATTATTTAAGTGTGAACTCCTGCGATGCATGAATGATAACTTGAGAAAAGAGAGCGTTTTGGTAAATTTCAAAAAAACAAATCCCATTATTGCAAACAATAATATAATCTTTTAATTCACAAATTATTTATTGTTCTCGAGGGACGAACTCTCTCCATAATTTTGAATTGCATTTAAATCATTCACGCTGGTGGCACTACTCATGTTTATGCATTGTTATAGGTAAAACTGAAAAAGCAGCAACGTCGGGCGATGCTAAAATTTTCGGGACCGTTTCGTCTTGGATCCATAACCTTAATAATCGGAGGATTATCTTTTTGAACGCAGCAAACGAAGTGATTTCCTTGTTGACTGAGCAGTTAAAATTGATGCTTTGGTCACAGTTGAAAATTCGCAATAAACAATTTCTTTGGTTTCGAATTATGTACAAGTATATACCATGGATTGAATATTTTTCGTTAGCGCCGCGCTCTTGTCTCCTGAATGCATAGTTCACATGGATAGTTCGGCCAAGTCGTACATAATTTGATGGGATAACAGCGTGGCTTGGAAGAGGCACACGATACATTCATTAGCATGAATAAAACTGTTCCACCCCATAACCGACCGCCGTGTGATTGGACCGCCTTGGCTGCTTTTCTTCCAGTGGAATAAATGAAATAAAAATTATTTTTAAGAATATCTGGCTTTTCTATTTCTCTTGTGGAATTTTTTCTTTTTTCCCTCCCAGTGGCGGAACAGCTTGAAATCAACTACAATGGAGTAATTTCAGATCTCATGAGTTTTATTTTATTTTTTGAAATTCACAAAACGTGTTCAGTATAGGCCTACAAGTAAGCAATTTGTGTGACAAAGGATGGTTAGGTAATCACCAACGAAAAAATACTTGCATTAAAACTGATAATTCCTTATTTGACTTCGTAATGGCAATATATATATTCTTTTCCGGACATTTTTTTAATGTTTGTGCTTTTTTTTAAATGAATTTTGCTGCCGGCGCTTGTTAAAATCTAGATCACAAACCAATTGATGTAAGAAATATCCGATTTCTGAATATGCTATATTTCTTCGATAATATTGTAAACAATGTAGCCTACATGTGGTGTTCATAAAGTTCTGTTACCATGTTCAAATTTGTTGTATAGTCAGTTTACGGTATAACTTGGCCAGATTATATTCCTATCAGTGTTTTTTATTTAGGCTACTTCATTTAATACACCTTTATTTGCCAACTATTAGTGCACGAGGCACGTCAAATTTCTTTCACGTAATTTAACACTGGACTTCATGAACACCCTGTACATTTCAGACTTTATAAAAACTTACATCGTCACATCTAACATATTCTGAAAAAAATCAATCACATATGACGATAAAATTGAGTTATGTCAAATATAAGTCCTGCATGTAAGTAAATTACAATTCATTTTTCAGTAAATTATTGACACTAAAAATATCTGTTTTCTGTATATATATATGCCAGTTCCTTTTTAATGCTTTGTATGTCTCATCTTATATATATTGTCTCATCAAACATATTCTGGACTTCCATCGAGTCTTCCAACTCTTGATCTGCTGAAAAAAAAATAAAATGAAATGCTTTTAACATTTCATTCAATCTATGCTTTACGCAAACGACGACGAAGAGATTCGAATTGCATTTTGCGTTTGGCTTTCTAGATTTAGTGTTTCTTAAGTTTTTTTTTTTTAATGGGCCTGAACTTATCATTATGCTTACAGTAGATCCCATAAATGTATGACTGGAATTGAACCAAACTTCGAAAGTCAATTTGACAAGAAGATAAATACACACAAGGATTAGTTTGGTCATTGACACATTTGCCGTATTGTTTACATCAATAAAAAAACATTTTATTGATTCTCGATTTTTTTTAAAGGTTTGTGGGCATAATATTTCTTTTGGTGCTGAAACATGGCCACAAGAAATAATGGTTGAAAACCACTGTTCTTTAAATTTACTTCCTTCTGCATTTCAATAAATCGAGCTAGAAATAATGCCATTAGTTTTGCTTCGGTTTCATATTAATTCAAATATTCTGTAACCATACGCTAGAATTGAATATCTGCAGGTTTATTCAAACATAGAATAATACATACTCTCATTGTTTTGATCCCAGGGGTATCGATGTATTAGTGTGTGTCTACGCCATGTGTGAATCACCGATCGCCATCGACCATCATTCCACGCTGTAGTCTTTAATGAGGGAGTAAACTTTGTCTTTTTGTACCTAAAAATGAAAACCACGAAATAGAACAATCCAAACATATATAATTTTGACTTATAGTCTACCGTTTCTAATTTAGCATTTTTACACAATAATAGACACGGAATAAGGAACCTTCTATGTTACTAGGATACTCAAATATAGTGGAAATCCAATACCAGATGCTGAATAAGACTTGACTATATGTCATAGTTTTTTTCGTTATACTCCGTGATATGTGAGCACAAGAATATACAATTTGTGGGCGTGGCTAACTTAAGCTACTTGGTAATAACACAATATAACATATATATATAGAATGTAAACTTTGCTGGCAATAAAGCTTAAACATGTTGTGTGTAGGAAATCTCATGCCTTCAACTACCGCTTCTTGAAAAAAAAATAGTAATCATCTAATTATAATTTTTATTCATTGACGGAATTAAGCGATCTCACCCCACAATTTCATGCTCTGAAAATTTATGCTCTCTGCTTTTATAAAATGAAAAAAAGCGAGTGATTGAAAATCTGAATTTCCATCTCAATCTGCGGTATTTTAAACGGGGCTGAAAGTTTTATCTAATCTCACATTTTTGCATTAGTGTCGGAGGCTTTCTACAAAATATCCATATAATGCAGTTTCCGTGCTCGGCGGTGAGGCGCATCGTGCTGAGCTTTAGGAATACGCTCGCCATCGCACGCACCCATGATTACCCTGCGTAGGTTTGCAGGTTCAAATCGGTTTTCCTCTACCTCGGGATAAATATGTAAATTCCAACCCATAATATATACTATATATATATCGCAGTAATATTGATGCCATAACGACATGAATGTATTATTAGTGATGGATAGAAGTCTTTCAACCGCGAGTCCCAACACTGTGTGTTATCTATAGCTGATTATGAACCAAATTCCGGCGCCATATTTGAGAAAATTACATTATATTCGCCACAATATCACTGTTTTAACGATTTGCATGATTTTTCACGTGCATAGATTTGTCACAAATACCGATATCATATTGTAAGAACTGTGATCACAACTAAAATAAAATAACAAACTACTTGCCTTCTTCCTTCCCCAACTCTCGCTATAATACTCAAAGACATTGTTGTAGTGCAAATCATTACCATCAGAGTGGTAATTAATATTAAAGTTTTCAGCATCTCGGAAAGACCTATTGTTCAATCTTCAATTAATTGATCCGCTTGTGTTATACGCAAGACGTACTCTCACTTCTGTATAGTTTAAGTAGTTTATAATGTGTGCATAGATAAGTACCATAGTAATCATATAGAATTGAAGAATGTTAGTTGGATATACTACAGCAAATGTATTCAAGCAAAATACCTCCCCAAGATCGACAAAATCCTCCATCGGGTGAAGAATCCCTAAAGGGTTGGGTGGTTTTAGGGAGTTTTATACATAAATAATGAAAATATTACTAAGCATTCCGAACAAGTGGTTCTTAATAGAAAACAACTGATTTATACTCTTGCTTTATATACTGATATACTTCTAGTATAAACTATATTTATCGGAAAGCCATATTGCCATAATATCCTTTCAACAGTAACTCTATCTGTGAAGAGTTTTACCTACAAGGCCGGCTGCATAAAGTCATGACAATCTGTGTGATCTCATTGGGCCCGCGCTAATTCTGGGTGAAAAATATTAAATTTAATCATTACAACTACGTATAGGTCATCGCATTCACTCTGCATAAGCAATAAGTGTAAAATTATTCTAATAGGGATATTGGTATTTCGTTAAAAGATAATAAAATAATAAGTATTGTAAAGTTTCACACCCCGATTGGTCCCGCGGCCGTCTCCTACATAGAGCCCCTCAATAGTTGAAGACAGCCCTGTATACCAGGTCCTACCTATATCGTTGCGGTATATACATACTTAACACTCATTAGTTTAAAATATCGTTTTGAAACACACAGTTAAATAGCCCTAACAAGCGCGTTTTTTGTGCGACAGAGTT